CAGAAAAAGAGAAGAGACATAAAATCTTGAAACTTAAGCTTTTTATAAAACACTTCATGATTTAAAATACACAGTCTTTATTATTCAGTCACAAAATAGTTAAAAGGAAAAAATATGTTTCACTGGCAAAAATTATGAGAAATTTATGTAAACGTTTTGGAAAACATATGAGTGCTTTCATGGAAAGTTCAAATTTTTATTTTTAAAATCAGGGTAGCAGTATCATGGCAGAGATTAAAGATTATTTTTATAGCATGAGAAATTTAAACATTAAAATAGATTTTTTAGAATAGCCCCAGACTTGAAACAACAAAACTGTAGAATGGAATACTCCACAGCAAAGAAAAAGGATGTACTACAGCTTCAAGGTACGGCGTGGATATATCTCATTAACATAATTTTCTTTGGTCATAAAATATATTAATGTGTGTGTGTGTCCACTGGCAGATTTGTGGTTATGCCATGACAAACCCAAAGTTGATAGCATATTTGAAGATTTGTTTTGGTTACTTTTAGACCTTTATGCCATCATGTGGAAAGTCTAAAGAAAATTTTCATATATAAGTACAAACATTGAAGTATTATGTGAGAAGTAAGTGTAATCTACGGAATAGGTATCTTCTATGAATAAGCGTGTTTAAATTTATAGAAGCCATGTATCCAATATTCTGTCACAAAAAGTTAATACCACCCCCATCCCACTCCCACAACAGAGCTCCTGGATTCAGACAAATATTATTGATGGCAGCATTTGTTTTTTCTTTACACACACAAAAAAGTAATCTTGTACCAGGACCAGCAAGACTGATGTCCTGTGAGGTTCACACAGATTCTCTATAATTACAAAATAGAAGGTAACATAAACTTTTAATGATACAATTTTATCTGTTCAACTGCACATTAAGAAGAGAAAAATTGTCCTATGTCACTTGTGAGCCCAAGAGAACTTCTATACCCCAATATCTTGTTAAACTAATAAGGTCCATTCAGCTTAAAAAAATATTTTTTCCAGTTTTTTAATTAATTAATTTTTTCTTTATTAAGGTATTACATATGTGTCCTTATCCCCCCATTGTCCCCCTTCCCCTCATGCCCTTACCCCCCTAGTGTCTATGTCCATTGATTATGTTTCTATGCATACATACAAGTCCTTTGGTTAAAAAAATATTTCACTGTGTTTGCACTTTTCAGTTACTGAACTCACTGAGTCTGTGGGTACAACATTCATATATTCCTCTTTGGTCAGTTACTTAGCCTCTTTTCCCCAATTTTGATCTGTGTTGAAAGTAAATGATCCACTCTCACTGATTTCCACGGTCAGACCTAAGAGCCACCTAGCTCTGACTTGAATAGAACCAAGGATGTAAAAGTGAAAACGATCTGAGAGAATGACAGCCTCTTAAAGGGCAGGTGAAGGTTCAGTGACCTTCCGGCACCCTGGTCCATTCTGGTGAATCACTGCTTTGGGGAAGCATAGACCCTGTGGCTCATAAAACCTGATGACATTAAGAAGAAAGGAAGGAATTCACACTTAGAATTCAAGGTGACTGTTAGAAATACAACTTTAAAAATTAAAGAGGAAATAAAAATACCATATTTAAAAATGAATTACTAATGATTTTTTTTCTTTAAAAAGTATTGGGAAAACCCGTATCATGGAGATGTACATTACTTATTCAATGTACACCATTGAGAGATAAATAGAACTGTTCAAATAAAAAAATGCCAAAGGTAATTCAACTACTGCATTGTAAGTGTGGCATAACTGATTCGTCATGACATACAATTTTCTAAAAGCTATTCTGTTAGAAGGCAATAAATGAGTGCATAAATGATTTACACTCTTCTGAACTATAGTTATTATTCAGTATTTTATTTTTAAAAATATATATACCCTATACTATTATGTTTATTCTCTAGAGTATAATAAAAACATAATTGAATTTGATGAAAAATAGACTTGATTCTAAATGTAGCATACAGTACATACAGCTACTCCCTTATTTTATGCGCTGTAAAGATCAATGGTCACTGGAGGTGGTTCTGCTCAAGGTTTGTTTTAATATATGGACAATAAAATATTTTTAATTTAAAAATTATATCCTTATATTCCTTGTCATATTTTCTTTTTAATACCAACATCTGAGTTTTGACCTCCATAACAATTTATGAATGCAAATACAGTATTTTAATCACTGTTTTACTTCTAAATATGATTTCTTATTGACTAGGAGGGAAATTGACTACAGATGGGTTAGCAAATAAAATTGAAGCAGTCTACAATAAAAGCATCAGAGTTCAGTGGCTGGTTTTGTTTTGAGGGAACCTAAATGCTATTATGAATAAAGGTTATCTTTTTAAAACTATTAAAAATTTGTTTTAATATAACCATCTCTGAAATTTATATAAGTGACTTATTAACCTATTTTCACTTATAATTTCCTTTGAGTTAGAAACTGTCATGTAATATATAAATATATAAATTATCTAAGTATATAATTAACTAAAGTTCAATATAGCTATTTTATATTTATATATAACATAGATTATAACATACACTATAGGATGGTTAAGTCATATACATGCTAAATTTAAAAATTATATTCATAACCCTGGCTGGTGTTGCTCAGTGGTTGGAGTGCTGGCCCAGGCACCAAAAGGCTGCAGGTTTGATTCTTGGCCAAGGGCACGTACCTAGGTTGCCGGTTCGATTCCAGGCCTGATTGAGGCAAGTGCAGAAGGCAACCAATGGATTTGTCTCTCTCATATCTCTTTCTCTCCCCCACTCCCTTCCTCCCTTCCACTCTCTCTAAAAAAATCAATGAAAAAACATCCTTGGGTGAAGATTAACAACAACAAAACATTATATTCATCAACTGTGACATAGAATATAAGGGTATAATTTTTAAATTAAAAATATACATATAGCCCTAACCGGTTTGGCTCAGTGGATAGAGCGACGGCCTGCGGACTGAAGGGTCCCAGGTTCGATTCCAGTCAAGGGCATGTACCTTGTTTGTGGGCACATCCCCAGTAGGGGGTGTGCAGGAGGCAGCTGATCGATGTTTCTCTCATCGATGTTTCTAACTCTCTATTCCTCTCCCTTCCTCTCTGTAAAATATCAATAAAATATATTACAAAATATATATACATATAGTGTAAGGGCAAATACAAATTAAAAATAAGAGACTTAATTCTCTCTGCTTTAAATAAGAACAAAGATTTCCCTCCATTCCTGTTTTAAAAGCATTTACCTGAGAACCTTGTAATTATAAGCACTTTTCCATCTCTTTGACATGTATCCCTTGGAAGACTAGATAGGCCTTTTGTCAACTTTCCAAGCCAGGACTATCTCAAGAACCTGGGAGCCATCTTTTTCAAATGCAAACACCAAGGAGATAGCTCCTGTATCTCCCAGTTTCTGTGGAAGTGTAGGAGCCTAATTTCAGTGGATATGCTATCTTTTGAATTTGTTATCTATGCACATTTATATAATGATAAAAAAATTAACCACATTCTCATATAAAACTTGAGGAAAAAATTATAGGAACATTTCACTTGCTTGGTTCAGTTCTTTGACAATTCAATATAACTATACCTTAAATTTTTAAGAAGGAAATACTATGTTATCATTCTACAATAGAAATTTTTACTGTGGCTTCATATTTATAACCTACATTAGGAGAATTATTAGAATCTTTGACCAAAAAGATTCAAATAAGTAAACTGACTCAAGAGTCCAGAAATACATATGAAGACAAAGTCTATTCTAGCAAAGTACATGTATTAATGGGAAACTACTTCGCTGCCCTAGCTGCCCTCAGTGTTTGGTAACACTTTTGAAGTAGGTAATGAAGACTGATATGGCATAACAATTCTCTGTAGTCACTAGCCTCCCAAAGTAAGTGAGAAAGAGAGTTAAAATGACAAACATTACATATAAATAATTTATTTTTTACATTCTGTTTTCAGCAACTCAAGCAATCCATGGCTTTATACTATTATTTTAATACCTTAATTGAAAATTTTTGTGCTTAGCCATCAAAGAACAATGTTTAACTCTAAACATATTAAAAAATCCAGGCCAACAATATTGGCAAAATCTAAGAAATCATTAATAGCAATTCAATAAACTTTATCTATTTGAAGGTGTTATTGTCCTATCTAGCATGGTCATCTGGGCAGCTTCACCAGAAAGCCATAGTTTTATGCTCCCCAGGGAATCACTGGTTCATTCCCTGTGAATCGAATGGCACAAGGGGAGATGGACGCATGTGCAGTGAAGTTGAAGTGACGTAGGGAAGGTCATTGGCTGAGAGGATGGAGCTACTGCAAGTGCACAAAATCCTGGAAGGGTAAAATCCCCAAAGAGTTTCCTTTTCTTCTTCTGTGCTCCCTCTTGCTCTGTGAACCGCACTCGCCCTGTGTTCATGCGCTCGCCTGCAGTAGTCATATGGCCATAAGCAGCAATATGGCACGCAGGATGCTGGACTGGACTTTAATATGGAGCAGAAATTCTGTGCAGTGGCTTTCATTCTGGCCCTGCTGAAGACAAGATTGGACTTCTTCCATGGCAAGACAGACAGAGATGGGACTTTTGAAGGGAACCCCTTAATTTTACATCATCAATAAAGCTTTCCATGAATTCCCATCCTCAGGAGGGACCTCAGAAAATTCTTTTCCTTGTGGCATCCCAAGAATTCCACTTCCACCAATAACAAAGTCAATGCCGATATATATCTATCTATATACCTATATCTATCTATCTATCTATCTATCTATCTATCTATCTATCTATAGTTTTAATACAGTACTAATCAGATAAGAAAAATCACATTAAATTTTAGGGAGGAAAGTCTCATCATTTTTTTTTCCAGCAAAGTTAATGACAATGAAAACCTAAAATTATCTAACAGTAGAAAACAATAAAACTAGATTAGGTAACATTTGTGTAAATTAAACATGAAACTAACTTGTTTTAATTAATTAGCAATATTTACCTTGCAGCATTTTGTTCTATCTTTTCATCAATATCACTGAAGATCTGCTTAAACTCCAAGTCTCCAGGAAATGAATTTAACAAACAATGTAGGTCAAAGGAATTATGGGAATATTCATCTCCCCCGTCCATTCTGAGGAACAATAAAAAACATGTTAGTTACTTCAAAATAAAGGGAAAAACCTACCTCAAGATGTGATACTAAATCAAAACCAATAATTCCCACTTTTAGGAAAAATGAAATATAGCAATAGAAGAACTAGGGTATTAGTAAGCTGGGTAGAGTGTTTTGTTAAAGTTCATGAGGTGTGACCTAATTTTCACACTTTTCTCTAGTTTGAAAACTGAACAAAACAGCACCCCTCAGAGAGAACTTATAAACATCCTGCTGCTTCTCACTGTAACCCAGCACTGCAAAGGAAATCACAAAGCCTCACAGACCACTGTGAACAAAGGCAGTTGCAGAAAGAATTTAACACCTTCCTTCCACTCTTACCCACAAACTAACCTGGAAATGATAACGTCAGAATTGTTAATGCCTAGTACCCAGGCCCTATTCATATATGAAAAAGGCAAAAAAATCTCCTCTCTGATAACTAAAACTTAAATTTGCTACTTTTTATAGATATGCATTTTTCCCACTATCAAAGAGTTATTCATCCATTCATTCCATATATATTTACTGAATGTTTGGTAAGTAAGAAGCATTGCAGTTGAAGCTTGGGATATAGCTGCAACAAGTGAAAGTCCCTTCCTTTACGGAGTTTTATTCGGGTGGGGAAGGTACATTTTAGAAACACATCAACAGATTTTATAAAAGATCACATGGTGAGAAGTGCTATGTGAACATGTAGGGTCAGGGCAATGGGACAGATTAAGAAGGATGAGTTGGTACAGTGTATGAACTATTTTATTTAGGGATATGTTATTTTTGGACATACAATAGTGCTTATAAAATATTTTGATGACTGATAGTGTTACCGATGAGACCATGAGACCTTGGCTCTTGTTTTCTTGAAGGAAAGATTTCAATCAAGAGACAAAGTATAGCAAAATAAGAAAGAATTTATTGGCTGCAGCTAAAAATATATTTAGGACAGTGAAACAAGGAAGAGCATAGAAAAAGCAACAGGAGAGCCTGGGCTGGGCTGCTTTGGCTCACTGAGAAGTCAGAGAAAAGGGGGCCTTGGTGACAGGTTCAGGGGGTTAGCTCGGGACAAGCTGCCGCTGCCCAATGCTCCCCTGGTGGCAAGTCTCATGGGGTCCCTAAAGAAGGAGAAAGGGAATGGGGTGAGCCTGCTCCCCTGGGAAGAGTGCACACTGGGCCCTTCACTCTGAGTGTATTTCTCTCTCTTGTAAGTGGAAATCTTAGGGGAAGTCTCAGGGGAGGGTGTGATCTTTCAGGGTTGTGGTCTCCACTGATTGGTCAGCACCAGGGCAGAGGTTTAATAGTCAATGTAGCTGGTCCTGAGGTAGCTATGGCATCACTTTTCTGGTTTTGCTGCTTTTCTAGCCCTGGAGCCGAAATACAACTGAGGCCTAGATGCTATCTTTAGGGAGGAAAAGGTCAGGGCGGGAGGATCTAAACCACATGACCGGCAATAAGCTAGGGGAGGAAAGGTTTCTCTGGGGGCAAGGTTCTTGTCTTTCCAGTTTTGCCCCTTGCTAGGCATCTAGTTTCTGTATCTGTCCCATCATCCTTGCTCTGCTCATGTCTGTCTAACTGATAACCAGAACGGTGAGCAGAGGTGTTTTTCTCGGGGTCGTGTCTCACGACACCGAAGAATGAGCTATGGACCAGAAGATTTAAGCAAAAGTATGGAAAATTGATTACAAGCAGATTCAGACTCCTTGCAAGGGGAGGGGAACCCAAGAATGGGCTGCCCATTCAAGCCTTGTAGTCCAGGGGTATATGTTTGCTACAAGCTGCTCTAGGTCTACCTGATTGATTCCCTCAATTGTTTTTTGTTTGCTTTGTTTTTTTTGCAATAAGTACTTATCATTTCATATATAACTAGAGGCCCAGTGCACAAAATTCGTGCATTAGTAGGGTCCCTAGGCCTGGCCAGCAATCAGGGCCAATCGGGGCCTTCTGGCTGCCGGCCAGGGCCTTTCTTCTTTCTACGGCACCCCCTGGTGGTCAGTGCACATCATAGCGAGCTATCAAACTCCCAGTTTCTGGGTCGAACTCCCAGTTTCCGGGCCGAACTCCCGAGGGGACACTTTGCATACTAGCCTTTGGTAAAATATTTTAAAAAGAAATTACCCCTGCTCTCAGTGGGACTTATAATTTTTTATTTTACATTCCCTATCTCTCTTCATTTTAGACACCTTCCATCCTTAACTTCTCTCTTAGCAATTTGTGTTTATCATTTTATTCAAAATCTATTTCAAAACTTACATAATTCCTAAATATCTTTTGATTAAATATGACCACTTCACCAATCTTTTTGTATTATTTTATTTGTGCTTCCAAATGCTGTTAAAAGAAAATGTTTCTTGTATTATTTTGATAATGTGTGTTTTATGTCCTTCTTTGAAATCAGTTCTAGAGTAAACTGATAATAAATTGAAAGATGTTGAGCATTCAGATAAGGTTGGGAATCATGATTTTGAAGGATTCCCAATCTACATGGTTGTCTGACTTTTCTCTATCTAACCTCAGTAAAGAAGTTAATCAACAAACACAAAGAATGCATTAAAGCTGTGACAAGATGGAGTAGCAGAATGATGATGGTTCAGAGTTTTCATGGGACTGGCATACATCTTGTGATGCTTCCATATCCATATTTATATGGTTCCATGGTGATGAAGGATAAGAGAAGCAAGAGTCACCTTTTAGGTAAAAGGCAGCAAGACTAAGATGCTGTGTGATAGGATTTAAAAACAAACAGCCTGGCTGGAGTGGCTCAGGGGTTGAGCGTTGACCTACAAACCAGGAGGTTGATTCAGGGTCAAGGGCACATGCCTGGGTTGTGGGCTTGATCCTCAATGGGGGGCGTGCAGGAGGCAACAATCAACGATTCTCTCTCATCATTGATATTTCTCTCTCTCCCTCTCCCTTCCTCTCTGAAATCAATAAAAATAAATTAAAAAAATAAAAAAAACAAATAAATAAAACCTGATGGACAAAATATAACTAATGGGATGAAAACATTAACCTGAATAAATAGTTATGCACAGATGAACATAAGAAATAAATAGAGTAGACTGTGGTAAGTAATGCTTAAGTTTGGATTTAGAAATGTCTCTTAAATTGGCAGTGATCCCTGCAGGACTGTGGTGAGAAAGAAGCATGCACCAAATGGGCATGGGCATAGGCGCCAATCCTCCCATTTCCTTATCTGTGCCACAGTGTGTCTGCCATTGCTGGGCATCATGATGGAATTGAAAGGTTGGACAGTCTCTCTTCAAAAGGAGCAGAGACAGTAAAAAGAATAAGGCCATAAAAAAAAAAAAGGAGCCAATAGAAAGATCACTGCTATTCTCTAAAAGGTAACTATGACTTCAACAACAGAAAAGTAAATTATTGAGGGATGAATGTAATTTGGCAAATACTCCAGGGGTAATTTAGAAATTTTAGAAAGGTAGAACTAACTATAAAATTTAGGGAGGAAAAGGAAGAGGCAGTGAAATTGTGGGTCAGGATATAGCTTTACAGTCTCTTTATGTTCCTGTATTTCCAACTATTAAATTGTCATCAGGAAGATTATAATAATTTGACATAATGAATGAAGTCTCTTATCTTACTCCGTGATAAATCAAAAATGGGAGCTGCACCTCCTTAAAGTACAATAACTTTGTGTTTGAAATTGCTATTCTGCAACATTGTTTTTAAATGTTCATTCTCCTATAATGTTTCTGAAATTTTTTATAAGGTTAAAAACACAGTGCTTAATATTTCAAACACGTATGAAAATCCAATCTAATATTAATTATTGCCTGTAAAAATGAGTTATGTTTGAAGAATTATATCTAAGCCAAACATCTGTAGATTATGTTTCAGCCGTAGGCAAAATGTAACAGTTGAGTTATAAATTCCTAAGAACAGTGACTATAAGAAAATACGAGCATATTATAAGCACTGCCAGAAAACATTACAATAAAGCAATAAAAAAATTATAGTTTATGTGATCAAAAGAAACCCCAGAAAAATAATTTTGGAATCTCACCAATCTTTTAACGTATTTCAAAATGATACTTTTCTATTGTAGGGTCTCTCTCTCTCTCTCTCTCTCTCTCTCTCTATCTCTCTATCCCGCTCTAATTTAAACATATAATGGTTAGAGTCCTTATTTTATCTTTTTTCTGTTTCTTCAACAATAAAAATCTGGAGTGCCATTCTTCTTATAACCAACTAATAAATGTTAAAAAGTACTAAAAAGAAGACTGAACCATTGGGAAGAAATCCACACTACAACTGAGTTAGTAAAGGGGAAAAACAGGACTGTGTGATTTTTCCTCAGTGGAAAAGCCCAGTGAGGTGGGTCATATACCTTCTGTGAACTCAATGTAGACTGAATGTGTCCACCAGCTCTGGCTCACCGGAAGTTTGACTACTCAACAATGCTCTCTAACCTAAAATAAATACTGCGAAAGAGCATGGCAAGGAAGTGGGGTGTTGGTATTAATTAAAAATAATTACACATTCTATCTGAAACTAAAGAAGTTTCAAAATGTTGCACTATGATAAAACACATTTAACTATAAACATTATTGAACCAAGAAGCAATAGATCTGAGTCCTGATCCTGGTTCTGTTAATGTCAATGTGCATTTGGGTAAGTTACTCAAGAAGGATGGGGCTCACGTTCCTCATTTAATGGATTTATTAGGCCCTGAGGTTTCTTCTAGCAATAAATTTGTTGTATTCTATAAGAAATTATAAGAGACATACATATTTCTGAACCCTTCCACACAAATTCACTCTTAAAATGGACTATTTTGTTTGTCAATCCCATCATTTTTTCTGCATCTTCGACTCTCAGAGCCACTTTAGATCTCCAGGACTGCTACATGGAAAGCTAAAGTAGAACCCATAGCAAGAAATAATATGCAAAAACAAGAAATGTGAGGCATCAAGATATTATTCTATGGTAATAAATAGATGCCCTGTACTGCTTTTCTGCCTGCA